ATCTGAGTGAGGTGGGACCAGCAGATGAAGCAGTTGGTTACATTGCGAGATACTCGATGGCCTTCCATTAGGTTTGTATCTTTTTAGGAATTTGTCTCGCTGATGAGCTCTGACGGTACAGGAGGATTTAGCTGCTCTACGAAAAAAAGTCGATGAATTTTCATTACGTTTGTATTGTCTCTAGAGTTATGATCCCCTTGCGGATATCTGAGGTGGAGAAGAGGCAACGGAATAGCGACGCCAAATTGATAATCATTGAACAAATTTCCATTACGCGTAGATTGTCCGGCTTCCTGAGGAGATATGAGAAATAGAGCGTGGGCAGAGGGAGGAGCTAGTTGTTTTTGAGACTCACAATAGCATCTTACACTCCTGTATTGTGATTGAGCTTTTGTCTTTCTGAAGAGAGGAGAGTGGGAGGAGACGTGTAAGGGAAGGAGTTAGCTGATCTGCGAACAAGTCGATAAATTTCCATTATGCTTGTAGTGTCCGTAGGATTATAGGTCTCCCAAACCAGCGCGCAGATGGAGGCAACGGGCAGGGGAAGGTGTTGGCTCGTTTGAGAAACATTAAATCTTATTGCATTAAGTGTGTTCTGTCTCTAGAGGTACGGGTATCGTTGCAGAGATCTGAGTGAGAGACAGAGGGTGGAGGAAGGAGTCGCTTGTTTTGCGAGACACTCAATACCATTTTCTCAGGTTTGTATTGTGCGTAGAGATTTTGTCTGTCTGAAGAGGTTTGAGTGAGGGACGACGGGTAGAGAAGAGTCAGCTGTTTTTCGCGACACTCAAAAACTTCCCACAATGCTTGTATTGTATCAATAAGTATAAGTCCTGAACAAGCACTTGGATGGAGGGAACGGGCGGGGGAAGGAGTTCGGTGTTTTGGAAAACAGTGAATGACACTCTACTAAGCTTGTATTGTCTTTGAAGCTATGTGTTTCATGTTGCAGATCTGAGTGGTGTGGGTCGAGGAGAAGGAGCTGGGTGCTTTGCGAGAAAAAGCTCGACATCATTTGAGCGGGCTTGTATTGTGCGTAGAGCTTTTGCCGTTTGACGAGTTCTGAGTGAGTGAGAGCGCACGAGCAGGAAAATGACTTATTTGCTCCGCGGAGCACTCCACAAATTTTCACCTAGTTTGTGTGGCCTCTAGAGTGATGCGTGTCTCAGTGAAAGGAACGCATCTTAAGAAACCTTGGAGGTGAGAAAATGAGCTGTTTGTGGTTTACTCAATAGATCCTGATGAGTGTGTGTTGTCAAAAGGGTGATGTGTGCCACTCCGAGGAGGTCCGAGTGATCGGGGAAGGGCAGGAAAAGGGGCTAGGTGCTTGAAAAGACGCTTGAAATAGCCATCCACTAGGTTTGTATCGGCTTTTGAGATATCGGTTTCCCAACAGGCAGCTGTCATGGAGGCTGGGCAGTGGAAGGAGTTGGGTGTCTTGCAAAATGCTCAGTGGCTCTCGGTTGAGTATGCGTTGTATCTAGCGTTATTTGTCTCCGAGGAAACGACAAGGAGAAGAATTTGTCTGTTGGGAAGGAGACTGCGCAATGTTTCAGCAAGCTTACTTTGCATTAGGATTTGCGTCTCTGGATGAGGAGACGCTGGACTTTGGGGTGCCCTACGGTCCCCTGGCTAGACGCGCGAAGTACAGCGCCTGCGCGACAGTTGCGTGTGGGTACCGCTCTGAAGGCTTTCGAGAAAAGTTATTTTAAAATCAAAAAACGGCCTAGAACATTGAAACCGCCCTTTACTGCCGCATTTCCGCTTCCGCTGCGTGCGGTGAGGAGCAGCGGAAGCGGGAACCCTGCACCAGCAGGTTGCACACACACATCTGCGGTAAAAGTCGTACCCCACACTTACCTACCAGCGACGAGGCAATTAAATACATAAAAAGAGACTTGGCGCTGCATTTGCTGCAGTTTGTACACCCGCTTTTGCTGTAGGTGCTGTACGGGATTCCAAGGGCTCGAGCAGCACTCGCGGTGCAGCCGGGTGCACATCACAAAACAATTCCTGCTGGTGGTCCGCTGTCCTTTCCCTACTCGTTTTGAGAGCCGTGTTGGACACGCATCCCCTTGTCACTTACACTTTTCTTGCGTCTGGATGTCACTTTGCATTTTGGAGACAGTCCGACTCATCGGGAGCCCTTTCAAAACTAGTCACTAGACAACCTAAATTTGAAACACACAAACTTCAACGGTTTCCTGGAGTTCCACCCTCCCCAGCAACAAAAAATCGGGCACTTCATTTGGTTCGATTCTCCTTTGTCTTTTGTTTCGGTCTCTTGCTTCTGCTCTGTCTCGTCGTATATGCGAGGTCTCCTCCTTTGTCTTCCAGTCTCTTCTCCAAAAATCCGTGATGGCGTCTTTCTCTGCTGCTGTTCCTGCCTTGCGGGGAACGACCCCCCCCCCTCTGAAATTCTTGGGCTTATTTTTGCTCTTTTGCATATCGGCTTCTGTCTCAGTTGTGTCGGCAGCAAAATCAGAGAGTGGAGAGTCTAAGACACCCACTCCTGAAATCGTCCTGCCCGCGTCCACACCGCTGTCGGATGTGCCTATACACTTAAGCACCCCCGTCGTTCACCCACCGCTAACTTCTGGCTCCACTGCTGTGGCTAGGATGGAATTTTCGGGCTCGATAGGGATGTTAGAGGCCACAACTGACTTGGCATGCGCCGAGGCTCAGGCCGGCTTTGTTCTTTGCTGCATACCCGAAAGCATGCGGGAAATGCAAACAGAGAATTCTTCAACATTGAGCAAGACGTTGGAAAGGTGCAAACCCAGAGAGCCCCCCGCCTCCGCCTCTCAAGAAGCTCTTGGCTTGTACACTGCGCAGATGCAGCTGATCGCGGCAACTGCAGTGGCTGCGGCCGACCGGCTACATAGCTCTTTCGTGTCTCTATTGTACGCAACAGAAAATAATCTTTTTACTCCCCATTTCTTCGAACCGATTCGTGGATCTACACTCGAGATTGCGCTTAATGCCCTGGGAGCCCAAGGGAGAGAAGGATTAGACACAGAAGCCTCAGGCACAGAAGCCTCAGACTCAGAGACGCTCGAGGAAAGCACCGGAAACTTCTTGACAAGAGACAGACGCATTGAAGAAGCTGAACTTAATTTAGGAGCTTTGCGCATTGACCATCTTGTGTCGACAGAAGTACCAAGCAATAGCGAGGACGATAAGGTGAAACTGGTGGGATTCGATTACCTGATCACCAGGCTAGGTGAAAGAAGATTATTCAAGGAAAATCCAACGAAGCAACCCAGTGACGAACTACCGATCCCTGACGCTCTTCCGGAGGAAGTCAAGCAGGAGGGGGTCCCTAAGCACCTGGTTGATCGCTTGGCACTGTCCGTATTTTTTTATGATCAAATGCTGATTTATGTGATGGACACAACGGAAAGGCTGGAAAAAGAAATTGCAGGAATTGGTCTAGAGGCCTCTGCAGAAGACGAAGAGGCGAGCGTCGATGCACTCGTCCGCCAGGGAGAGGCTCTCCCTTTTTCAGGGAAGACGGTACCATTCCCCGTGCGGTTGTTCAAGGTAGTGCTCCGTAGGCTTGCGCGAATTCAGGAAGATTTCGTCCTCGGAGCGGATATTTTTGAGAGCTGGGGTAACGTGTGGACAGAAGAGAGCGTCAAGCAGTATTCGAAGAACCTGGAGGAGTTGGAGAAGGCGAGGGCAGAAGTTGTTCTTGCCACCAAGCAGGCTATTTATGAGGATTGGAAGGCAGTGAAAAATTCCCTGTTGCCGAACGCCGAAGAGGAGAACTGGACAGATCTGTTTTCGATTCTGCTCTTCCTTCTGTAAACCGTTTAGCATTTGAGCATTACGCTTTCGGGATCTTGATTCTTTAGTGAGCCGAGGCGAAGGAGCTCCATATCCCTGACCGCGTGGCGTGCTGCTGTCCATGTGGCTTTCCGTGTTGAAGGAACGCCCTCATTTTGCCTTTTGGCTGGCTTTCGCTTGCAAAGGAGTATTGGGCAGAAAAGCCTCTAAAAGGTTGGGAAGGAGCAATGACTGCGGAGAAGGGAAGCGAGGGAAGGGTGGCATATGGACAAGTGGACAGACACACACACAGAATCCTCGCTTAGCTCCAGGCGTTGCCGGCTTGTTTTAGGTGGTGCCTCATCGCCAGGGGGTAAGGCTTCCTCCAGGTTCCTTATTTTTGTCCTTTTGGTCAAGCCCTGATAGGAAGTCTTTACAGGGTGTATGTGCAGAGCGAGCCACGTGGACGTCTAGGGGAGAATGCCTGGCGCAAGCGCGTGTCCAGATACGGATATATGTGTCTACTGTAGACGATAGATATCCCCCTATATATATAGATGCACTTTATTTCGTGCATTCGAATGTGTGCTTTTGCGCCGTTCTTCCCCGTCCGCCGTACAGAGTGCTTGAGCTCTGCTAGAATTTGTGATGGCATAGAGGATCATTTTTGACTTTGTTGACAGACAAGAAGCGCAGGAACCTGAACGTGCCGCCGCATGAGCGCCGTAGATGAGGCTTGGTGCTTCATAAAATCAACACTATGTCTTCTCAAGATCTGTACTTTTGGGTCGACGCGCCCTACTGCGCACTCAGCCTCACTCACATGTACATGGCGCAGGATCTCCGATTTTTGCCAAACGGTAGATCCCACGGTGCAGCTCGCTGCCTTTCGGCCTTTGAGCTTCCCACCCCACGCCATCGCCGCGCGTGTGGGCTCGAAAGTGTGCTACCAACAACCACCCACCGAAGGGACAGTGGTGCAGCAGGCGTAGCGAAAGGGGCCTGATAGAGGCAGCAAGACTAACACGCGGAAAACTATCCAGTTCCCTAGGCGTAGCTCGAGCTCGCAAAGCGGACGATTCCGCTCTCAAGAGACCCCGTGAGGTGGCAGTACACCACTCTGTCCAAGTAACAATTCGGTTCAACGACGGCTCAGCAGGCACGCGCACGATCCATTGAGGTCGATGCATCCGTAGCCTAGCAGCCGCGTAGTCTGCACACTTGGTGCTTCATTAATTGGCGTTACATGTGAAATTGTCTATTTCTTTGGCATTCTCGTCAAGCCGTAGGAAGATGTCTCTGATGAGGGCATCGCTCAAAAGGAGGCCGTGAGGCGGCAACAACACCAAACTGCAGCTAAGCGTGCTCCTGCTGTGGCAGCCATGCCTCTCGAGCGCGTAAAGCAGCCTCGCCACGCGGGAGATCACTCCCTGCTGCTGCGTCTCAAAGGGGTGTATCATCAGCCTGTAATGCTGCGGCGTGTCTGTTTCTTGCAGCTGGAGTTCCTGCCCCTTGAGCTCTGCAAGTAGCGAAGTGTCTACGGCTGCATCGCCGTCAGAAGCGGAGAACGGCGAGCTAGCAGAAATGCCAACCTGAATCTCAGCGACATCAGGACGCTGCAGGAAACTGGATGCTCCCTGCAGAACAGAAGGCAACACTTGCTGCAACAAAAATAATGCCGCTGCTCCATCGGCTCGTGCTGATTCTGTTGGCGCTTTTCCTTTTCCTCCCGTAGCGGCTTCCGCTGCAGCGTCTCCCTCTTCTCTGGCGACGCTGTGACTATCCGCCAGGAGCGCGCAGCATTGCAGCAGCTGCTCGACTGTTGCTGCTGGCTGCTGTCGTAGCATCTCGAAGCTCCGAGCTGCATCGCGTGCAGCTGCTGCTGCGTCTCCTGCAGCTGCCACTTGCGCAGCGGCTCGTGAAAGCGACAGCAGATGCAGCAGATCAATGCCCGCCGAGGTCCTTAGGCCAAGCATCAGCAGCTCCTGCATCCGTGTGTACATCCAACTTGTAAGCCGTGCTGGTTGTGTCTCCGCACCAAGAGTTTGACACCGCGAGTGCCCTCCATGAGGAGGCAACCCCCCCTGGGGGAGCTTCTTGTAGAGGGTCGTGTAAGCCTTCAGGCTGCAGCAGGACAGAGAACGCAGCACAGAAATTTATTATATTGGATGGCTGTAAAGAATGGTTGGAGGAGCAGTGGACAGCTGGGATGCGTCTATCCAGTCGCCAAGGCTGTTGCTTTGCAACACCTTGTATGCTGAACCTCCCCTGCTTCCAGATCACCATGCCATGCTCTACTAAGCACTGTGCTCGTAGATCGTACGGCCTAGCACACACGTTTTTGGGTTTGTTCGTCTCTGGCCTCTAAGGAACGCAGCAGCTCCCATGCCAACACCAAAAACCGTTCCTCCCCTCCAGTACAGCTGAGAGTGTGCGCAACGGTAGCTAGGCAGCAGCTGCTTTTGTGGCAGCAGCTGTGGCTGCTCATCTGGGGTGTCGTGTGCGTCTACGCGGGGTCCGGGTTTGCTGTCTGAAAACGCAACAAAGGCGCATAAAAAGAGCAGAGAAAGAGGAAGGCTGTGAGGTGTACGGAAGAGCTCGTGTGACGCTCCCTTGAAGATCTTGATTCGTGCGGGTTGCTTCATTCCGCGTGCCAATGTGCATGTAATGCCTGCCACCCCTTTTCTGTAGAAAGCTTTAGAAGCAAATTTAGCGTTCGGGCAAATTTGTGTATACACATAAGTGTGTAGTGCAAATGGCATCTAGCGCGCATGCATACGACGTTGCTTCTTTCTGTACCGGGCAAACGTTGCAGTGAATGAGGTGGACAGACAAGCCAATTGCTCAATTCCTTGCCAGTTCGCAGTTGAGCATATTTGGTACAGTAGACAGTATTTAAGTGTAGCTTAGCCTCCAACTGGAGTGCGTGTATCTACATATGCATGAACACGGGCAGGTGTACAAAGTTGACTGAACGGCACTTCACACGACTGCCGTCCCTTCACAGTGCTCCTGCACAGCTTGTGTAGACAAGGCACGGAGAAGAGACACATCCTGGAATCCTGGGGTCAGCCCACATACACCTCGTGAATGGAAGCGCGCCTAAGCGCGTTTCCTTGTCGCTAGAAGCATTCGCGGAGGAAATGAACTCGGTCGGTTTTGCATGCACGTAGAAGCCCGTAGAGCGACATGCGGGAGTCCGAATGCCATTACTTAACATATACGTATACATATACATATATATATATATACTTATGCACAGGTATATGCATGTGTTGAGATGGCTGTATTGCTAAAGGCACCTAAAAGAACGCAGGTATGCCTGCCGAGGATCTGTAAACGAAGTACAAATTTCTGGATTCGAATGCAGCGCGTCGAGGCGCACTTTTATGGTGGCTGGACGAACATCAAGTCATATATGCGCAACACGGCAGTGTGCCGCGGCAAGCATACTGCAAGAAAGCAGCCCTCCCTAGATTGTGAACCAGCCAGTATACAATCAGGTGAAGAATGGGATTGGAGAGAGGAAGGGACGCGCGCGCATGTGCGTTGCGGCAGTTCTTACAGGGGGTGTGCGAACACTGCAAAGCGAAGGAAGACACCTCGTAGTGCTCGTAGCCGCGATCCATCAAGTACCTTCGAATGCACGCACCACAGTCTCCAGTACAACGAGATCTACACTCAGACGTCAAGGAGTGCGTGAGCGTATGACGACTCAGAAGGCATCGCTGCGAAAAAAGTAGCCTCCTTGTGGAGTTTAGCCTCAAGCACCCCATAGTCACGCTGACTGCGATGCGGCCGCTAGAGCAGAAGCGGATTGCGCGACTGAAGGGAGTCCTTTGGGAGGCTTTCTATAGAATCTCGACCCTTCATCAAGCTGCAGCGAAACAAGCGAGGGAGACAACACATGGAGACTCAGCCTGAAGGTGCTCTTCCTCCTGCTGCTGCCTCAACGAGCGCTGCGTGCTTTCAGGAGACTTATGTCTGCTGCTTCTTCTACGTAAACGTGCTAGCAGGCTTTGAATTGTGAGGTTGCGCCGCTCTTGTAGCTGCGACGGCCACACCTGGAGTTCGTAGAGCGAAATATGGCCTACGTGGAGGCGGCTTAGAAACTGCAGCTCGCGCAGCAGCTGCTGCTGCGTCTGTACAGACCAAATGAGGTCTACTGAGGTTTTGTGCAGGAGGTTGAACGACTTCAGCAGTCGAAGGGCACGCAGACTGTCGAGAGCGTGGCTGGCTTGCCCATTCTTCTTGTTGCTGGTGCTGCCTTCTCTGCTGCCGCCGCAGTTTGCTGGAAGTCTGCCCAGTACCTGAAGCGTCGGCTCGTGGAGTGTCTGTACACCCAGAGAGAAACGCGTGACACCCGCCGACAAATACGCAGACAGCCGCGCTGCGTCGAGTGTGCCTGCGAAATTGCAGCACCAAAATACGGCGGAGACAACAGAGGCAGCACGTGCAGCCCGCAAGCCAATGTATCCACCCAAGCGAAAGCAGGAAAAATTCAACAGGAGGCTCATCCTGCCGCATCCCTGATTTCATTGCAAATCGCGACGCTGCTGCGCAACATTGCAAGCGTCAGCCCCCTTCGTCTTCACTGCTCGAGGAGCGGCAGGAGGGGTTCCCAGGTGCGTACAGACGCAGAAAGGCGATCCTCTCGTGCCTACCTGGATAGATTTCAATAGATACCTCTGGCTCTTCTGCGCATGGCTGCGATTGGATATACTGCGTTCGGGAATGGCATCGAGGCTGCTTTCGCTGCTGGAGGGCTTCCCGCAGCAGGTGCTGCTGCTGCAACACTTGCAGCAAGTCTTTCTCGAAGAGCTTGATGCGCTGGAGAAGCTGCTGCAGCATATCTGGAGGCATCAAAGACGGTGTGCCTCCCCCAAAATACACGCTTCGCAGCAGCCGCGTGGCTGGTGCTGCAGCTGCTGTACGTCCTTGTGCGTGTGGAGCCTCTACTTGGGGGTCGGGGAGGCGGAAGATTGCTCTGCTGCTGCTGCTGCTTCTGCTTGTCGTATTGAGAGCGACGATTGGAAGAAGTGCAGGCAGCATGGTCTCCTGCAAATCCGTGATCAGTGGTGGCGAAGGAGGCATCTCCGTCAGTGAGCCCCCTGACTGTGGCTTCTGCCCTTGCTGCCTTCGCAGTTGTTGCTGCAGCTGCTGCACGACGCGTTTGTGAGGCAGCAGGAAAGCCTCGAACTCAGACTGCATTTCTTGCAGAAGCAGGGGGAGGTATGCTGCTGCGGCTGCTCCGGCTGCCTCATTGCTGCTGTTGGGGAGAAGCGCAATGGGAAATGCGCAGAAATGACAGCGGCGTAAACAAAACGGGAAGTGTACATACACCCCAAACTCGTGGGTGCTGTCGAACTCCACCAGGACCTTGTTGTTGTTGCTGCTGCTATTGCTGCTGCTATTGCTGCTGCTATTGCTGCTGCTATTGCTTCTGCTTTCCGCGGTGCATGCTACCGCTTCTTGCGCAGCTCTTAAGGGCCTGTGCTGCGGCAGCTGCTCTTGCCGCAAGTAGACCCCATACCGCGCATGCAGCGCCTTACGCATGTAAGGTCCCCCCGCTTCCGCCAGCGCAGCAGTCGATGTTGCTGCTGCTGTCGCCGCTGCTGGTTGTCGCATTGCTTTGAACGCTGCGCATGTGGAGGCTGCAGAGGGCTCCACTGCTTCACGCCACTCGTGCGGCTGCAGATGCCTACGAGGGCGGCTGAAGGCCAAGCACTCTGCATGCGCGCGCCTTCTGCAGCATCCTGCAACACTCTTCAGGAGGGAAGGCATCAGGGCAGAGGGTCGCACAAGCAGGGGCGACTTCGCGCACAAAAAGGCAAGGAGCAGGAGGAGGAGCCACGCGCAAAACGAACGAGGCTGCCGCATTCGCGGGAAGGGGAGCCCTCAAAGGGAGCCAAAAATACTACCCACTCGAGAAAAGAGGAGGCCGTTGCACGAGGCTTGGAGGTTCCCAGTGTCTCGCAAAAATCCTGTGTAGCGACACCCCAGCGCCGGAAGCCTCGCTAACCCCCAGCGACGAGCAGCAGCAGGGGATGCGGTGTGGTTTCAAAGTTGTGAGGTGCACTACACATTCGCGAGAGGACTTGAAAAAGGCTCAGATGCTCGCGGGGATGACGTGGCGTTTGTGGCTCGCGTCTGCGCGCAGCTCAGCGGAGAGCTCTAAAATGAGGCCGAAGCCACGGGAGCTATGTGCAGAGGCGTGGATGAGGCTACATCGCTGTACTTCGTTCTACCACTTAAAAAAGCTTAGGATTTTAAGAGCAAGGCGTCTGCAGATTTGCGGCAAAAAAAGGCTGAGGAAGGTCCCTCACGAGTCCCCTCGTGTGGGGCCCCCCCCAGGTGACCCCGGGGGGCCCCCTGGGGGCCCCCAAAGATTTGCAGCTTGTGTCGAGACACCCCGCCTGTCCAGGCTTGCCACCCCTTGCCTATGCGTGTGCATCCACGGTTCGCAGTCCTCATGGCCTAGGGTGCAAGAGTTTCTGTTTTTGGTGGAGCGCATGCACTTGAAAACTGTGACTTTCCGGGTAGACACACCCCCTGCGAGGTGTGTGGCGACAGGAGAGGCTCCCGAATGAGTGCAGCAAACATTTTTACTCGGATATGCGCGCACGTCTAACCTGAAACTTCGCTCAATCGACCGCGAGACTCCTTCAAAGTCTTTACTCGATGCGGAAAAGGCGAGGGGTCATGGGTTCAAATTCGCTTCAAAGGCGATCTTCTGATGATAAGACAACGGGAGGATGCGTCAAAAGCCTCTAAGGGACTCGTGGCTTGTGGCAACAGCGAGCCTTAGGTCAGGAAGGGGTAGCGCAGCAGCACCCTGTGATAGAGGAGGCCAGCCTCGTGAATGTCAGAACACGCCAAACTGTTTGCTTGGAATCGGAGCCCCCTAAGAAGTTAGCAGAAGTGAATTAAGATCTCGATCATTCGAAACCATCCTTATTCGTGGCCACGACAGCCACGCACACTGATAACCGACGGGGTGTGTAAAGCTACGTGAACATGCTGCTACACACCGCCCTCGACGTGCGGCGAATTCCATTTCCACCATTGTCGACCTTTCGCTTGAATTCTAGCGGACTCTGTGTGTGTTCAGGAAAGTTTTAACGGGCGAAGCTACACGAACGCACGCTCTAGAAAAATAGGCGTATTTGATTAGGGATCAGCAGAGATTCTAATGATGGGCTTGGCCGTTCGTGGAGCGTTTTTATTAGCTTAACATGAATTCGGTCCAAAGTATCAGCGTTGTTGGGGTGTGTGCTCCTAACACTAGGGGCAGCTAGCTGTTGCTGCTCGAAATGCTTCGAAGTGCAGCTACACACACCTGGGTGGCCCTCCCTCTTCACGCTGGAATCCTCAGGGATGAGGACAAGAAAATAAGGGGCCTGGCCTCATTTAAAAACACTCAAGCTTTCAATTGAGTGTGAGGTTCTTTACAGTGAGGACGAGGACAGGAAGGTGCATTTCTCAGTACGCCCCTACAGGAATTCAAGATAGTTCCGTAGGGCCTTGGGGTCTAAAGATCTCTTCATGAAGACACCGGGAGGAGCCTTGAGAGTAGCTTTGTTGTTGCCGACGAAGCTGCACTTTCGCACTTTTCTTTACGATTTTCACTTTTGATTTCGAGTTTGTGAAGAGTTGACTCTTTTGCTCGGCTAACCCAGCATGCTTGATGCATAAGGGTAGCTCAATGCGATCAGCATTATTGCTGAGGGCATTTGCTTTGTAGGTTGCTATGTGCTCCAAGCCGCAAGTGCTTTGGTTGCCGAAAGGTTGCGTAAAAAGCCTATGCACCCTGCATGTCGTTCCCTCCTGCCTCGTACCCGTAGGGGTGAGGCCAGGCAGAAAGACCTCTTTTTCTAAGTATACGCAGTTTTTGATGTCTGCTCAGTCTTGCATTAGGCTTGTGGCGGCTAGACATGTATCCCGAGGAGGCTCTTTGTGCAACTTGGCATGCCTAGCAAACGACATGCAGCCTCACCATGTAGATCTAAACCTTCTCTGCACCAAATGAAATTTAAATACAGCCACAGTGCACGAAGAGGGGTCGATTGCATCTGAAAACACATGGTGTGGCAGCGGCTGCCGACGTTTCGGTATGGTCCTTTTTATATCGAAGGGGACGTTCGTTCTTGGGAGGCATGTGCAAGACGCGAAATAACTCCACGAATCCGTTTTTGTAAGTTTCCTTGTTTAGTGTATTTGTGCGGCGATGGATGACACCGGTTGCATTTGCATGTCGTTTTTGCACGGTTATCAAGGATGAGCGAAGGGCTTCGTGGGTTCCTTCGGGGGGCGAGAACACAGTAGGAAGGACTTCGTGCATCCACCTGGCAGAATACAGACAATGAAATCGAAATCGACTCAACGTAACTGGTCATAAGCGTGAAGCAGCTGCAATGCTAGAAGCCGTTTCTCGCCAGTAGGCGGCAAGAGGGTTGGGTGTACAGACAGACACACACACACCTCGGGCATGCGCTGCACCGGTTTCGGCGTTGCTTTCTGCCTTTCCCTGCATTCGTCTCTTGAGTGCAAAAGTCAAATGGAGTTCCTTCACTTTCAGAAATAGCTGCACCATGTTCAAGTGCATGCCGCTGGCGTAGTTGCACAGCCGAGACTTTGGCGCCAAGCTCCTAAGGCCTACCAGCCCGCCGCACCGACTGAACTGGAAAGCTAGATCTGAAAGCCTTGTGTTCTTTTCAGGCAATTTGCCATTCTTTCCGGTGGAAGTGGCGGGAGGAGGGGAGACACAATCGCGCCGTCGCTGTTTTTTGGGTGGGGGGTCTAACTTCAAAAGTAGGCCCCTACGTTTCGAAGGCTTGGAGGAGGAGGGGCCCCCCTCCGACTGCCACCCAGCAACACACGCCGTGCTCCTTCTGGAGTTTCTTCAGCGCTCTCCTCGTGGCTTCCTCCTCCACTTGCCGCTGCGCAGTGCACACCCTCAGCAACAGACATACATACAGCCAGCCGCAGCAGCAGCAGCAGCAGCCTCGCGGGGTCTGCTGCTACCTGAGCGGCAGCTCTTCCGCATGGCGTCTCTTCGTGCGTGCGTCTCATGAGACGAATTTCCGCCACTGTCTGCGCGGCGTCTTCCCGTGCACGGCAGGGGCCCCTAGGGGCCCCTTAGCCTCTGCCGTTCCCAGCAGCAGCTACGCGATCTCGCAGCTCAGCCTTTCGCCTTTCTAGCCTGCGCACGCACCACCATAGGACGATGTTTCAGCGGTCTAAACCACAAGGGCAAATGAACGAATGTGAAGGGAGGGCTTACGGCAGCAGCATTGTCTGCTGCCGTGGAGCGTTTCTCATGGGGTAAGAGGGACTAACGGCGTTCACATCATAGTGTCTTGAAAAGCGCCTCCTCAGTGGCTGCTCCCGAGTAGCTGTACCTCTTTCGCAAAGCCCGTGCTGTGCATCGCATGCGCGCCATTGTCTGCATGCATGCCTTCAGTCCCTACAAAATCAATGTTTTGCCACTCATCTCGTGAACACGTCTCTCTCGCTCTCTATCTCTCTCTATCTCTCTCTCCTCCTTCCCAGGAGGCACACATACGCGGCAGCTCTCTCTCTGTCTCTCTCTATCACTATCTCTCTCTCCTGCTCTTCTTTTCTTCACTTGTTGTCTGCGCACAAGCCTCTGCACCATGCCTCAACAGGCCAGATTATCGAATGGCAGTTCTGACTTTCGCCTTAGTTTTGATACCCTCGGCATTCTTCCAAGCTTTTACTGCCCCCGTAAGCCTTCAACTTGCATGCGTTGCAACGCTCGTGTGTCTCCTGCCTTCCCGATCCTCACAGCGCGTTTGCGTGCCTCCAGCATGCTCCTTCCTCTGCCCCTACCGTCTCTACCCCTGCTCGCCTCTTGTGCTACCCTCATGAAACACCACGAGTCGCCAACTTCTGCTTCCTTAAAGTCACACACTTTTTCTTCACGCCCCGAATTCTGTCTCTCTTGGCGCATCCTCTGCACATCCTCCTCTTCGAGCGCGTCTAGCGATCTGTTTGTTTGGTTGTTCGCCTGTCTGTTTGTTCATTTCCCTCTCTTTCTCTCTTTTTCTCTTTCTTTCTCTCTCTCTTTCTCTCTTTTTCTCTTTCTCTCTCTTTCTCTTTCTTTCTCTTTCTTTCTCTCTCTTTCTTTCTCTCTCTCTCTCTGTCTCTCTCTCTTTTTCTCTTTCTCTCTCTCTTGTTCTCTTTCTCTCTTTCTCTCTCTCTCTCTTTCTCTCTCTCTCTCTTTCTCTCTCTCTCTTTCTCTCTCTCTCTTTCTTTCTCTCTCTCTGTCTCTCTCTCTTTCTTTCTCTCTTTCTTTTTCTCTTTCTTTTTCTCTCTCTCTTTTTCTCTTTCTCTCTCTCTCTTTCTCCCTCCCTTTCTCTCTCTTTTTCTCTTTCTCCCTCTTCCTCCCTCTCTTTCTCTCTCTCTGCGCATGCTTTTATCGCGGGAGAAGCATCTAGAAAGCCCTCCTTCTTTCCCTTCAAGCTTCTCCTTATGGATGCTCGAGAGTGGAAAAGAAGATCACCCCTGTCCTTTCCGACTCCCCTCCCCTTGTGTGGCTGGTTGCAGTGGCTAGCAGTGCACTACAGCGAGGCGTTCAGGATCGTTTCCCTGTGTCTTCTCGTTCT